AATAATAATAATAATTAATAATAATAATAATAATAATAATAATAGTAATAATAATAATAATAATAATAATAATAATAATAATAATAATAATAATAATAATAATAGACAATAATAATAATAATAATAATAATAATAATAATAATAATAATAATAATAATAATAATAATAATAATAATAATAAGCGCTATTTAATAATCATTGTATTTAATAATAATAGTGGTAAATAAAAATAATTAACGATATTTAATAATTATTACTGGTCACGATAATTAATAAGTAACCATTCAGAAAGAAGCCAGTGACAAATGCCAATGGAAGCGTTTATGGTTATCAGTTTATGGATAAATATAATGTTGATGGCGATTACAAGCGGTAAATCAAATAGCCAAATGACGATTGCGGATATGCAAATGATGCGATGTGATGTGTGACATACAATTACGTTATTTAGCTTGTGAAATACTGATGTGACAATTGCGCATCTTAGCAGCAGGACGAGAAAAAGAAAAGACTAGGAGAAGCGTTAAAAAAGTAAATATAGCAAAAATTGTATGCAACCGTTTTTAATACCTTAATTAGCACTCTTTCCTTTTTTTTTTTGCATGAATTTCTATTAAGCGAATTAAAATAACAAAGATAATGGGCTGGATGACCATTACCTTCCTTATTTTAATTTTTAAGGTAGTGGGATTCTATTCCCACAATTTAAAAAAAATGGAAAAATCAAATGGAAAGGAATATTGATTATCGATATTTGCCGTCGTCTTATTTATTTATACTTGATTATCAGTTTGTTGCTGGGGAGCATCATGAACCTGCTGCTGTTGCTCAAATGTCGCACCCTGGCCAACTTCACTCAACGATAATGAACCACCTTCACCATCGACTTGTCTGATACCCTTACCGGAATCATTTCCTCCCCCCTCACTGCCCTTGGCAGTTTGAGAGGAGATTACATCACCATCACTTCGTTCGGTCTGATATAAGCTGCTTCCGGTGGTTACTGTTATTGCTGTACCGGAAGTCCGGTTTCCGCCACCATATGGATAGCTACTTTCAGGTCGGTCTACAAATTTATTAATTGTCTCAAAAATAGTAATGTTAAAATCTATATTTTTTTGTAATATATTTCGTCACACAATTACGATGTATTCATTTGTTATGATATTAAAAATTGATCAGATTTTTGCTGTTACCATCTCTTACAATAATCTAATAATTAATTCTGACAACAACTTAAATCATTATATATTTTAACTGAGAAAAAGAATGCAAAACCGAACAAACCGGAATGTTTCAGGATAATCTTTGAACTATCCATAACATTTGGATCAAAACCGGATGAACCGAGAGTAAAAGATGGCGTGCCAAAATATGTACTGTACGAATTTATTGTTCGACTAAAAAAACAGTTCGATCAATATTCTAATTCCATTTATCAAATCAATATTTTTATGTGTGCACAATTAATTCCCTTCCTTCTCTTTATCAATCACTTGTACTTACCTTCCAAAATTATCAGCTCATCTGATGAAGTAACAGTGAATAGCGAATGGATGTAATAACTATAATTAAGTGATAATCAAATAATTAACTTACTCATATAAATCATATCCTTCTGGACTACCCGAAAAGCTCACATTCAATCTGTTCATTTCACCACTTAATATTTTATCACTAATTTCACGACGTCGACGACGTTCACTATTCAACTGATCACGCATAATGTTTAATTGATTTTCCAGCTGATTGATTCGGCTCTTCAGTGAACGTTCACGATTATCAATTATTCGTTCGATCTAATATTTGCAAAATAAAATTCAAAAGAAAAAAACGAAAAAAACAAAATTGTAAAATTTCATTTTTAAAAGTAATTCTTGGTTTCAATAATATCCACCATATTACATAATATTATATCTAATAAATTGAGAAAAAAAATGAAAAAGGAGTAATATTCGAAAAAAAAGTAATATATCCTTATTAGACATAATGTTAAGTAACACTGATATTATAATACATCATTATCATTATAAAAGAATTTTTCTCCGGAAGCATTTTCCGAAAGGAAAAAGAATGGAAAACAAGATAAGCATTACTGCAACCTGTAATTTTTCGGTTTTCATATTTTGCACGAATTTGTCGTGTTCGTCACGTTGCTTATTTGTAAGTTGTACCAGGCGATTACCATTGTCTAATTCAAGTTGCGCGATTTGTTGTTGCAATTGTGCGCAGTTACGATGCAATTCCTTAGAAGAAAAAAATGAAAAAAACTAAGAGGAAAAGAACTAACGTTAAAATTTGAATCAAATATTCTAAACTAATTTATTTTTAAAATATAGTATCTTTTTTTTTTTTGAATAATACTGATCTTTATGCCACAAAAACTATCTAATTATCTGAAACTTATAGAATCACTGGAAAATTTTTAAACTTTAAATCATAAAAATTTTTCACATTTGATATCTAATTTGTACCTATCTACTACTAAATGATTGAATGACGACAATATTTAGGGAAAACAAATTTAGAAACTTTATTTTCTCGTTCCAGTGCACTCAGGGAATTTTCAATTGCTTCGCGTTGCAGCGATGCTTCATGAAGAATCTTTTCCACTGTTCGTTTTTCCTCCTCAAGCTATAAATAATTTAAATAATTTTTATAAAAAGTTTTTCTTGATTTAAAAATAAATGAATAATGCAACTAACAAGCATTTTTTTTAATTTAAAAATAAATGAATAATGCAACTAACAAGCTCGATGCGTTTGATTAATGATAAACGGATTTTCTCGAGCTCATCATATTTGTCGCTAATGATTTTCTTTTCCGTTTCCATTCGTGCTAAACGTCGTTGTACATCACGGAGATTATTTTGTAGCGTATTACGTTCACTTAACGCTGACGATAATTGTTGTCGAATTTCGGTTTCGATTGTTCGCTGTTGTGATACTGCCTACAAATTATACGTAAATTAACGCAATAAAACTTGAAATATTACTTATTGGAAAGAAAATTTGATAAAATTACTATGAATTACTCAGAGCAATATTATTCAATGAGCAAATGTCAAACTTGAGATTAATTTTAAAAAAATTGAAATTAAAGATAACTTTTAAACAAATTACCTTTTCCAAGCTATGCAATCTATTTGCAAGGCGTTTCTTATCATTTTCAGCATCATTCAAATGTCGCTGAAGATCCGTTATACGATTTCCGCTATCAGTGAACCGTTGTTTCATATCTCGTAATTCGGAACGTGCAATCAATAGCTCACTTTCAAGTTGTTGTCTTCGACTATTTGCATTTGACAAATCATTCTGAGTACTTTCAAGCTAAAAAAGAAATTATTTTCCTTCCGGTTTTGATATAATTTTAGGAAAAGAAAGTAAATCGTCTATGTCACCCAAGATCTACCAAATCCGCGTCATCCAAGACCTATAAAATTTATGTCATTCAAAATCAATAAAACCTGTGTCGTCCATGGATTTATAAAAATTGAATAATTATTTTAGAAAAATTCCTCTGATCTAACTAGCTCGATGAATTTTCGCTGATTTTTTATTTGCTTAATTGAAATAATCGATATGAAAACCGCATGCAATAACAATTTTAAACATTTTCAACAATAAAAATGGACTTCTACTCATTTCGCCAATTTATTTTAGCAAAATTAGGAAATATTAATCGATAAATTTTGAAACATGATGAGATCATAAAAGTGTTTTTTTCAATGCAAAATTTTTATTGGAAAACAAGGTAAGACAGAGAAGAAATTTGGCAATAGAAAATGTTAAAATAGAAATTCGTCATTGTAATGGAATATTAAAAACTACCTGATCTTTCAGAATTTGATTATCACTGATAACACGTAAATTCTGATCGATAGTTCGTCGAAGTTCTGCTTCATTTGTTGATGCTTTGATTAAATCTTTTTTCAAACGATCGTTATCATCCCTTATATCAGTATTTGTACTTTCGGTTTGCTGAAGCCGACCAGCAAGCTCGCGTACTTTTTCATTAAGAGTCTGTAAAATCAAATAATAACTCAATAATAATATCATTATTTAGAAATTTGAAATAAACAATTCTTGAAAAATTACGTAAAATTATATGCAGCAAAAGAACAATGAGAGTTTGCTTTTTTCTCTAAGTGATTTTTTTTTCGTTTTCCTTTTTTACCTAAGTAGTGGCTATTATTACCTACAATAGCCAGAACATTGTAAGGATTGAAAAAAAATTTAAATAAGCCGTTACGATTTCAAGTTACGAATATGACTATCGAGAATTTCATGTTCAGGTCAAAGACCAAATGTGAATTAAAAAGTAGAATAAGCCATAAAAATTCAGATCTATTAAAATTTAAATGAGTATGAATCATAGAAATATGAAAAAAGGCTGCTGGTGCTCACAACTATTCAACGATGACAACATTCATCAAGTCCAAATGAAATTGACTGATATGAACCGAACCATTCAGTTATTTCCCAAAAATTCGTCAAACATTTATGGTCGATTTATGATGCAAATTATAGAATCATTTTAATTCTATCATCCATTTTTCCGAATAATAATTAATAAAATTAAGCGATAAAAAGATGATGCAAAATATTTCATTGAATTAAAGCAAAATTGTTGAAATTTTTGGAAAATTCCAAAAAGAAAAGAAAATGAAAAAACAAACATTTCGTTCAGTTTCGAAATTCGCTAATAATAAGCGAATTTGTTGTGATTCGTTTTCCTGATCTTTCAATTTACTTTCCAGATGAAACTTGTGTGCATACCATTGCTCTTCATGATCATGAAGCACTCCTAAATCACCTTGTGCTGTTTCCAAATCTTTACGCAAATTTCGAACAAGTTCCTGAAATTTCGAAAAAGAAAAATTAAATAAAATTGAAACATTCGCTTAATTCATATCAAATTCTTTCCCTCTTTCTCTCTCGCATTTCATTCTTTGTGTGTCTTCAAAAAAAGAATCTCCCCTATTTTTTGATTCTTTTCTTTTTGTTTCCTTTGCAAAAAATAATTTTCTTTTTCAATTTTAAATTCCTACATTAAGCTGACGTATTTGCGCTTCTTTTCCACGTGCTTCCATTTCAAATTTTGCTATTCTCAATTTCATATGACGTCTTTCTTCATCACGCTGTTTGAGCGCTTCCTCTTGTGAGCGAAGAAGTTGTTTGGCTGATGATAAGCGCATTTCCAATGCACGTCTGTCTGGAATTATCAATCGTTTACACTGTTTGTAATGTAATTAATAATTCCAGAAATGAATTATTTTGAAAGAGAGAAGGAAGAAAATGACTAAGACCAAACATGTTGCACACTTAAGGCAAGTAATGATTTTGAAATACGAGTATGCCAAATAATTTAATAAATGGCAAAACAATCAACTGATTAAATTGAACTTAAGTTTTCAACCACAAATATAATAAATAACTAGGTCTATGAATAAATATATTTTGTTTTGCAATTTGTTATCAATTAATTAAGATCAATCAGTTACCATCTTCAACGTCCACTAGTTGATCTTCGATATTCTTGAAAATCGTTTCCTGTTTGTTAATTTTAATATGTGATTCAACACCCTTTTTCTTTATTCGATCAAGCGCTTCACGATATTCATTCTGGAATGATTTTCGAATTACCTCTAAATAATCTAAACAATAATGTCGTTTTCGTACGTTAAGCTGAATGAATCTCTCTAAAGATGAGTTTCCATTCTTAGGTAAAAGATTTTCATCCGGAATCTCATGAATTCCGAAAACTTTTTTGTCCAAAATATGAACATTGAACAATATGAACATTAAATCAAACTTTTAACATATATTTAGTACAAATGAAACTAACAGTTGCGATATTATCTAAGAATTCAATAAGCATTTAAAAATTACCCGTTCCAATTCAAGTTTTTCGACACGTCCAATTAGCTTTTGTATATTTGTATCAAGCTCGCTGACATCAAATCTTTCCTTGGTTTTATCTAATAAAACATTAATTATTACATTTTTTGATAATACAGTGTGAAGATACAAAAAATTGAAACCTAATTAATTTTAATTATTTAATTAAACTTAATTAATTAATCAACTTAATTATATTTTATTCAATTTACTTCTCGAAATCTCAAATTGCACAGTATTAGAAAGTAATGCAGTGAAGCAAGATTCGAACTGATTAATTGATTAATGATGCTCGTGCTTACCATCAGGTGATTTCTGAGCTTGCTGCACTGTATCTTTTTTTTCTTCGATAGATCCATCCTTTAATTTAATCCATAATTAATTTAAATTTTGAAACGAATTTTCTATTGAAAGATAGTTAAACTTCAAATTTAAAGATTTTAATTGTTTAATCAAATCAACCAACTACATCGATCATGAATCGATTTATCACAACGGTGCGATCGACCATCGAGTGAAGACGACGTAATGCATCGCGTAACATATCACGGTCATTTTCTACAGTCATATAATTTTGTTGTAAGGTTATAAGATATTGTTCCGCATTGTCCAATCGAGACTGGAAAAAAATTTGTTGCAATTTTTTAATTATAATTTTGAATAGAAAAAACATTAGGAAGAAAAACAGATGAAAGAAAATGGGAAATATTAGAAGTTTCCAACTTTCAAAAATTGCAAAAAAAATTTTAAAGAAATAAGAGAGAAGTAAATTTAAAAAAATTAAATCTAAAATTAAAAAAGAGGTAATAATAAATGGATAACATCAATTATCACAGATAACTGATAAAATCTTAACAAGTCATTGCATTTCGGTCAAAATTTTGCTTGTTTTACAATAAGTACTTCACAAATTAAAGAATTTATAAAAATTTCCCAATTAATTATTTTTTATGCATACTGTTGATCATTATTATTGCTTATTTGTTATTATTAATAATAATTATTCTTGTCGACTGCTGTTGCACTCATTTAAAGAATTATTAAGAAGAAAATGA